GATCTCGATACCTCCTCCGACCTCCTCTGTCTCCAGTTTCGGTCTCCTCCGACTCCGCAACCGGCTCCTCCATCGTCTAATGCCGCTGAATAACCCGGAAGCAGTATTTCAGCGGGTTACAGGCCGAGCCTCCTCGTCTCCTACGTATCGTCTCCCACGCACAGTGGTCCGGAGATTGCTAATTTTCAGAAGTCAGGATTTCGTGACACTTTTTTTCTGGAATTTTGTATTTTAAGGCTTTCAAGGTCGCTGGTAAGCAGCGGAATCTGAAGCCAACAGTTTGAAATTCGAATTGCAGCTTTGAAATAGCGGCTTCGACGCGGACAATTTTTACCTTCAACGCTTGCTTTCGACCAAAAATCACCGATCTCCGGACCAATTTAACCGTGCCACGGTCGGCCGAGTCTGTTCGCCATGAATATATCCGCGGCGCAACAATCCGAGGATAGGGAACCGAGCGAGAGGTAGAATTCACGCTTAGGGCAATAGTGTTTAATGGAAAGGCGATCTCCCGGTCCCGCGGCGATCGTTTAGGCTCGCGAGCTGGCCGTTCGACGGGGCGCGCACCCCCTGGAATATCAAACGTATATCTGATGTACGGGGTGGGACGATAACTTTGGCCATCCCGAACGTTCTCTTTGCCTCTGCTCACGTGGAATACTGTGTACTCGGTTTTCGGAGACGTGGAAGTTTCGGGATTGACTTTCGGATTTCCAACAAGAAACTGCTGGAGTTAAACGATGTCGAATAAATGTTACAGCAAAGAAAATTGTCGAAAGGGTCTGTCAAAGAGGAATAAAATTAAGAAATGCTAGTGGAACATGTCGATAGTATCTACGAGATTTTAAGCTAGAAATTGTTGAAGATTGTTTAAGATTGAACTATGTCGTACCGTATTGAACAAAGTCAAACAAACGTCGTTGTAGTAGAGAAAATCGTCGAAAAGTTTCTCTGAGAGGAATAAATATAGGCACTGCTAAAAATGTTAATAACGTCATTCTGACTTTAAAGTGAGAAACTGTTGAAGGATCTCCGTGATCGAACGTGGACAAACAGGATCAAATAAACTTCCTAAAGCTAGAGAAAGTTGCCAAAACGTCTATCAGAAAGGAATAAAGCTCTAACGGACCACGCGAATAGCGTGTTTGCAGTTTCCATTGAGACGATTCGTCCAAGATTTGTCACGATTCTTAATTTATTGCAGTAACGATTGATCGATCTCGATTGCCACGATTACTATTCGCAATCGATCGCAAAGGCGCTCGCAGGATAATCGATTACCGTCGAACTCTGGTTAAGAAGCGTCGGATTATTGTACGTCATTGCGCATCGATCCGAGGAAACGAGATAGCCAGGGATGAAATTTCTTTCGCGGCGCACCGTCCATGGGAACAAGGGAATCAATCTCGTTCGCGGAGACGACGAGGACGACGACGCGACGGGAAAGAGATATCCCCGAGCCGTCGGGCGACGCTTATAAATTCTGGCAAAAACGAGGAGAACGGTCTTATCGAATTACGCGGCGGAAAGTTGCGCGAGTTTACGCAGTTTCTAAGTAGATGAATAGGGGATACCGGGCGCGAGCGAGCGCGTGTATACCTCGATCGAAGCAGAGGGTGGAGAGAGTGCGGTAAGCAGCTCATTAGAACCCTCCCCGCCGACTGGCCATTATTGCCTCGTTCCGTATTCCGTTACAAATTGCTTTATTAAATTAAAGTCCCACAACCCATACTGTTGTGACGACCCCACGCCGACTTTCCCGGTTCCCTCCGACACGATCAGCCCCCGAGCGACCACGCGAACGCGCCTGACCGCGTGCGAGCCCTTCTTAATTACCCGGCCGAATTTTCTACGATAATTCCTCCTGCCGCACTCCTTCTGCCCTTCGTCCGTGGAATCGTCGGAACCTCGAACTTCCCATCGATTTCGAGATCCCTTCTTGCGGAATTGTTGTCTCGATCTGCTCAAGAATATACTTATCCCGAGAAATTTCTCTCAACTGTGTCGCGTATAATTGTTTGTATAAAAAGATTGGCCAACTTCGACCGACGATAACTCCGCGAAAAATCATCGTAGCACGACGACTTGGTTTTCAAATTAAAGCTTGAAATGTCTACTTTAAGATGGAATTTCTTCATTCGAAATAATGATATTTTATACCGTGATTTAGCAAAAGATATTTATGAGAATTTTATTCGATGATAATAAATTTAGTAAATTTAAACTACTTCGAACCGAGACAGAAATATTTTCATTGTCTTTTCGAATAATCACTTGAAATATCGTCTTAAAAATGTTTCACAACGAATCAAATATTCTATTCATTTTCAAAAGTACATATTCTTACGAATAAAATATTCCATTCTTAAAGATGCGATCTTTTCGGGACAAATAAAATATTTTATTTTCAAAGATATATACACGATCTCTAAAATCAAACGTCAATTCGCCACTTGCCATTTGAAATACTATTTTGTTTAGCGTTTACTCTTGCGCTGAAAGGGTTTCTCCCGCGAACGAACGAACGAAACGCAACGAAAAAAATATCCCGGTAGGCTAATCGCGCGTAGAACGGGATTAGGGTGAATGCTAATCGGTGTTTTTCGGGACGAGCGGCTCGTGAACATCTTCGCGCCGCGATAATGCCACCCACCCCTATCTCGGGGTTTTTATCGGGCGGCGGCGTGTCCTATTCGGCGATGATATCTGCGCCACCCCTGGCTGGCATCGGGACACGCAGGATCAACGGCGAAGGATAACGATAACAAAGTCCGCCTATTTGCGGAACACTAAGCTCACGTGGCCCGGCACGTGCCGGCCGACGCCGAGACGCCATGATTGCGGTCTATCGCGCAAGTGTTTAACCCTTGGACGCGTGATTCCGTCAAATTAAACTGCGATCTGGCACCCTTGTTGCGCCCTATCAAGCCCGCCGATGAACTTTACGATCCGGGGGGTGTGTGCGTGTGTGCACGAGCCGTCGAACCAAAGTAATGATCCGGCTTTCAGCGTTTTAATGAGATTCGAACAACGAGCCTCGCGATTAGATCTGTCGACGAAGGGATGCGCTCGGACGTTGTTCTCTCGAATGCCGCCGTGTAAACTATCGAGTAAATCGCATTTTCTTGCTGCAAGCTAATCGAGGAACATTTCGACCGAGTTCTTGTAAAAAAAGATAAGTTTTTTACCTTTGAGAGTGTTATTAAACTTTCATACTATAAACCAAGACGAGGGAATAATATTTAATAATATCCTGATAGAAATAATTTGCCATCCATTTTTATCATAAATGCATGGGAACCGCTGTATAATTATAATTGACAAGATGTGATATTCCAAAAAATTAGAGAAAATGTGACTAATCAAAATTTCAATGTCACAGAGTTACTTCGGAAATGAATCGTCTGTCTATTTATTTATTAAATTGAAAAGGAAATGAAAAAGGAAATTTTTTGGATAAAACCGCACGATCTTGCGGACGGGGGCGCAATAGTGTTCGCCCGCGGAAACACCGGCCAGCGATAATGAAGCAGAAACGGCAATGAAGTATTCGACACGATCCGGCCGCCGCAAAATCGATCGATTCGTTATCGTCGGACAATTGCAACGGTTTTTAATAGATACGCGGGGGTACACAACATTTTCGGCGTGTAACGAGATGTAAATTTATGACGTAATTATCGATAGGATATGTAAATCGTTTCGGGCGCGAAACCACCCCCTCGCTACGCTCCGCGGCCGACGCTCCGCGAGCAAGAAGAATGACGTAAAATTGATGAAGATTAATTGCCCGGTGAAAGGGCTATCGCCGCAAACTGTGCCTCCCAATTATTGAATAAGTTTCACGGTGACGATGATAGCGCTGTCGAGTGACAGAACGTACACGCGTCCCCGCACTGAAAATGTATCGGCGACAGGATAAAATGAACAAATTCAAGGGAACGCGCCGAAAAATGAGCATCGATCCGCGACCTGTGTTCTTTCTCTCTCTCTCTCTCTCTCTCTCTCGCTCTCTCGAATTTCGAGTAGCTGTGCTATATTCGCAGACAGATTTTTACAGTTGGATAGGGGTTGCTTTCGTTAGAAAAATGGCATTACGCTCATCTCGTTATTTAACACATTCGTTAATTATTCTAGAATAATTGTTGTAGAATTGTTTTAGATCCAAAGTGATCGATTTATATAGCTGTAGCTTGTTGAAAGTAATAAATAGTATAAAATAAACACAAAAATTTCCCTCTCTCAATAATTATTCTAGAATAATATAATATAATGTAATATTATCATTGAATGCTATATTATTATAATATACAATATTATAATAATATCATACTCTATTATTCTAAAATAATTAACGGGAGGGTGAAATTTCCATGTGGTTTTCGTTCCACGATATTTTTATTTTGCAACGAACACTAAAACCATATAACAAAAGATCAGATAGCAAAAAAATCGAAATTTTTCATCGAACAAAAATTACGATCGATTTTAAAAGCGTCATTGCTTGATTAGAAAATTCTATCGATACTTTATCTGTATAAATTATTCTGAAATCTATTCTATCTATACTTTCCATTAGAACAATTCTATCAATCGACGAAAAAATAATCGCAAGGTACACTTAATCGCGCCAGAGGCAAATAAACAACCGCGTGTAAATCCGGCTCGTAAAAATTGTCGCGCAGATATTCCAAGAAGCTACCATTTCTTCTTCGACCAAACTGCCTCGAACTCGCGCGACTTTTTATAACCTGTGACTGCGAGAAAGTATCAATCTGCAGACTGAGAATTACGAAGAGACAACGATCCGATTTTCTCATTGACTTTCTCAGGGGCCTTTCTGTTTATCTTTCTCGCTGCTGCTGCTTCTCTCGCACAGCGAATGAATAGAAATAACGACCGAGATAATGTTATCTTGGGAGTAAGAGAAAGAAGAGAGAGAGAGAGAGAGAGAGAGAGATCGGGGGAGTGAGAATCTCTAGAAAGTATCGATGTTACAGTGTCGCAACAGCTGGGTTGTCAGCAGACGATGACAGGCTCGGCCGGGACCGGGGAGCACGAGGGTGGCAAGAAGAAACACACGAGGCCGACGTTCAGTGGCCAGCAAATCTTCGCCCTCGAGAAAACGTTCGAGCAAACGAAATACCTTGCGGGACCGGAGCGAGCTAAATTGGCGTACGCCCTCGGAATGTCGGAGTCGCAAGTTAAGGTAAGCTCTCTCTCCTCCTTCTTACACCCCCGCGCGCACGCCGAAACAGATTTCCCCGCGAATCCCAAGCACGCCGGACACCTATTGCTCCGTCCCTGTGCCCCCCTCCCCCCTCATCCCGCCATTTTCCTTCGATTCGCCGGGAATTTTTATCGATCGGATCGACGCGTCGCACGGTGGGGCAGCAAGCGTGGCGGCCGAACGCGGCAAAAAAAACGTCATCCGACCGAAATCATGCACTGGGTGCCCCGCGAACTATGGGGATGAACGATCCCGAATCGATCTGTCCGAAGAGATTCTCGATTTTTCCGAATCGATTGTTGGATATTCGATATCGATAACCCATCGTTTTAGCAACGAATCGCTCTTCGATTTTAATTATTTTAATTGGTATAAAATAAATCGTACGTGACCCGACCATTTTGCAACATTTGCTCTCTTCCTGGATGAACAGGCGGCAGAGAAATCGGTAAAAGGGAAGGCTGCGTGCAGCGCGAAATTAGACGGCCGGATCGCATTTAATAAAGTTTATGCTAATCTCCGATAAAAACGTCACGGTGATTTAAGTGGGTCCGGCTAATTATGAGTAACAGATGTAGATGGGTTAATAAAAATTCATAACAGTCGAGAGCGCTCGGTGCTCCGATATTAATCCGTGAACGATGGAACGACGAGGCTGCGATAAAAACGCGAAATCAACTCGATCGGCCGCTTTTTAATCTTCGCCGTTATTTAATATTTTCTTGCCGATTTAATTGGCCGGCGATATTTATCGGCGAAGAATATATTCTCTCTCTTTCTCTCTTTCTCTCTCGTTCTTCCTCTCGGCGCCTCGATTCCGGTCCCCCGATTCCGGCCCCCCGAAGTCGGACTCGTTCGTTCCCGGCATGCGCTGCGGTAATCCGTCCTCCTCGACGTATAAATTACGGGCATAAATTGCGAGCAATCTTTTTATAATGTTCGCTCGTCGATGCGAGCTAGAAGCGCCGAGCAGCGACGAAAGTGAACGGCGAATAAAAATGAATCGGCGGGCACCGTCTCGTAAATCGCGTCGCCGAACGAGTGGAAGCTGCGAGCTGCAAATTTGCCCGCCTGTGTACCGGAGCCTCGCGCGGAAATCAATTCGCAGAATTCGCGGTGAACGCGTGCCGATTATTATATTATGTCGCCCCGCGTCCGTCTGTCCGACCAATGCGCGCTTCTTCCACTTGCAACCCCGCTTCAGACTATTCTATAATTCTTTGAAACAATTATTTGAAATAGTAGGAGGTCCACGCAGATTTAGATTAGTCGAATCATCCCCCTTACCCCTTTCTTTTTGTTCGTATGCCACACGATCCAAGGGCCCGTGAAAAGATTATCGTAGGACGACCGATTACTGTGCCTTCGCTTCGCCTTGCGGGCACAATTATTAAATTGTTCCTATTAAAAAATTAACAAAATAAAAGACCGAAAAACGTGCCGCGTCTTATTCGATAAAGATTAAAAACCGTGCCACATCTTATTCGATAAAAACAAGAAGCGAATCATGCTCCTGCCATGGTCGCAATTGGTCGCGCCACAGTAATCGGCTCCATCAGCCTTACAGCCTTTCGAAAAAATCGTTTATACGGAGAATTCGGCGGCGTTGTCCCCGCGAATTTCGCGACGATTCGAGGCGGCAGCCCTGCCGCAAAGAATCCGGGCCACCGGCGGAAAAAACCGTGTCATCGAAGCGGCGCTTTCGTCGGAGGGTGTGGGCGCCGGGGGTGCCGCGGCAACGGGGCGTAATTTTAAAACGCGTTTGTTCAGCGGCGGCTTACTCCATCAACGCCGGGGTGAGCAAGCTTCTAACGAGGCGGCGTTGTAAAAAAAGTTGGCCGGATAAAAGAAGGTGACAAAACAGCCGGAGACGTGTCAAGCTTTGCGGCACCTGCGTCATTCCGTTCGGCTCGCCCTCCACCCCCACGGAACAAAAATGGTAGAGAGGGCGAGCCGTGGGTGACGACGGCGAGCGTCACGGCACTCGGAACTCCGCCGTTGTCCTCTTTCCCCGCTGGCCCCTCTCTCTCTCTCTCTCTTTCTCTCGGTCTCTCTCTCTCGGTCTCTCTCGTGCGCGCGCGAGCTCTCTCTCTCTTTTTTCATATCCCTGTCTATCCGCCTATTTCTCTCCATCTTTTCCAGCATCCCTTTCTCTCGGCTTTTTCTCTCCCTCCCCAGGCCGACTCACCCTTTTCCTCCACCCTAGCTCTTGAGAGAACCCCTATTACCTATCTCTCCCGTATCCTCCGACAGCCCCTCCCCCCTTGGAGCCAGCTACCACCTCCCAGAGCCTCCACTTTTACTCCCGCCTCTCGAAGAGCTACATCTGTAGTACTTGTGCTCTCGAGCCGCGGCTGCGAGGAGCCTCGCTCTTCTCCCGCCCCTCCGCGCCCTCCTACCCGTTCGCCATCTTCGACCCTCGCAGCCAGAGCTTCCCATTTCGAAGCCTCAACCCCTGCCATCGCGACCATCGCTCCCTCTCGCTCTCTCTCTCTCTCTCTCTCTCCCTCTCATTCTCTTCCTCCCTTTCTCTCTTTCTCCTGCTCGCGCTCTCTCGCTCGCTCTCTTCATCCCTCTTTGCTCCGTTCCTCTCCCTCTCGGGAAACGCGGAGCGGAGCCGAGCGGCGTCGATGTAGCGCTGTCATTGGCTCGTTCTACGCCGCCATATTTACATTTTTATTGAAAGCTACAAGTCTGTGTCGGTGAGTGATGGCAAGGGGATGAACGCGAGCGGCGCCCTCTCGCTCTCTTTCTCTCATCCTCTCGCTCTCTCTCTCTCTCTCATTCTCTCTCTCCATCTTTCTATATCTATATCTATCTCTCTCGGCGTCTACCCCTCTGCACCCCCGAGCATCCCCGGCCCCGGAGGGTTGAACGAGGATCGGAACGGGCTGGACGAGCCGCCGCGAGAGAAAGAGATAGCGAGGAGAAGCCGCGGGGAGGGTTAGCATTCAATTACCTCGGATTTCCTCGGCAAGAGGCGATTCACCTCCGCGTATATGCCATCTTCGAGGGTGAGATTGCCCCCGGATCCGAACCCGGCACCGCGTTTCCCGAAATATTACGACAATATGTACCCGCGCGCCCGATCTCGCCCGCTCTCCGCCTGTCTCGCGACGCGACCGCTCGCTGATTCAGAGGCCATCGATTCCACTCCTCTGTTTGTTGTTTAGCACCGACGACGCACTCTTGAATTACCGATTCGGCCGGCCGAATCGCCGTCCACGCGTTCTACAGCTGTTCGAAGTCTGTCCGAATAGTGAACGCTTTTGCGAACAATGATTAATTAACGCTGGATTTACGGAGCACAATAAACAGTTGTTAGTCGAACAACTATGTTAGTTTGTAAAAGTAATAATAAAACATTTATTCTGATTTTTAACATTTTTATTCTGATTTTTATCGTAACGTTTGCCTAGCATCAGAATTACTTGAATGACTATTACCAATTGTTAGTTATTCGAGGTAAAAATATTGCGAAATATTGGCAAAGCTGCGCATTAGTTAATGAATACGTGAACGAACATAACCATGATCCGGTTAAGGATTAAGGACTCCGGCCGAAAGGAGGGCGACGTTCGTCTTTTCGTAGCGCTAAAAATCGTTCGATCGAATTACCGCGGCCGTCCTTTGAGAGCAGACTTTAATATTTCGAATGTCCCGATCGGCAACCGAAAAGACGCATAATAGGAGAGGGAATGAAAAATAAGAAAACGCGAGGCACTCGGATATAAGAATCGGTAGAGCTCGGAATACCATTATTGAAAATCTCCACCGTTCTATGAATTATTTATTAGTTCGGCCTGGACCATTAGCGCTCACTGCCTCTCGTCGCCTATACCAGTGACATAATTTCTCCAAAGAAACGCGAAAAACCTCCCTCTTCTAGAAATTAAAGAATCTTTCTCCAAGAATTATAAGGTCTTCCATCTGAAAATGAGAAAATATACCTGTAAAAATAAAAAAATTCCTGTAAAAATAAAAAAATTCCTTTCCTACAAAAAATGAAAAAGTCTTCCCTCAAAAATTAAGAGATCTTCTCCTAAAAATTAAGCAAGAGTAAGGAATTTTTAGTAAGTATAATATATAGAGAATAATATATAATTTATTGACAATATATTTTTATATAATATATATATAAAAATATAATATAATATATATAAGAATATATTGCATAAATTGTTGCAGCAGCTCCGGTAAAATGTTTCCGTGAAAGGGCGAGCTACTTCTGGCGCGATATCGCGGGATAAATCCGTGAATCGCCGGCCCCCCGGTTTTGATACACTGCCGAAAAAGACTTTCGTCGCGAACTTTGCTCATTTGCTGACCCGTTATGATCGTGCTCGGTGTATTACATTCTTGGTTCCGCTCCTCTCGACGTCTTTGCTGGCGGGTAACCGTCAATTTATTAGCTACCGGGAGATACACGCGTCTACACTACGCTCGGGAGATTGCTTCGAAATTGGCGACATGCATAAAACAACAACCGTATAGATAATGATACGATTAATAAGTGCTTGAAGTCTCCAATAATTAATTTATTGAAATGACAAGTCCGAGTCCAATTTAACGCGCAAAGAACAACGAATTTAAATATATATAATATATATACATTGCTCGAAAAAATTATAGCGTAGAAGGATTTTAGGTAAAAACTGTCGGGGTGGTATATGACAAAAATGCAGGGGTTGTTTCGAAGTGCTGTAACTTCGCGAAAAAAAATCGTAGCCTCGTTTCTTTTTTTTTAAATTGAAGAGGAAGAATCGAATTTTATTATAAGGTAAGCGACATTTCCGACAAAAATTTGACAAGGTCCGTGCATTTCGTCAAACTTGGCGAAGTCCGTCAAACTTGGCAATTTTCAATACGACAAACATGGCCGCACATTTAAAGGGTTACAGCGGCGATGGTGCGTCGAACTTAAAATCCAGAAACACTGTCTTAAAGTAGAGATTTCAGGCTTCAATTTAGAAAAAGAG